CATACAAAGTCACCCGACAAAAACGAGAACCAGAAATGCGATTAAGTTGTTTCTTTATGGAGGAGAAGCTTTCAAAGAAGGTAGCAGTTATCTGAAAGATTCGAACAAGAGCAATGGAGGACTGGTAAGACGAGGTATATATGAAATATTAGAAATATAAACCCTTCCTGGAACTTCGGGGGAAGTTAATAATCAAGTAATTTTTCTGGTGAGAAATTAAGAATTTATGACTTCAATGGAGCCAGCAAGAGAAGCGCGATCATGCATGCATGTTTGGCAGCCAATAAAATCTCATCGGAGAAGGAACGGTACAAAGAAAGTTCAGTGTGTGAACTTTGGGGAGTGCCTGCGGGAATCTGCAGGTGAGGAAGCCGAACGTCGCCAAGGGAGTGTTTGATATGGTAAGGCGTGAATACGGGATATGGGCCCAGTGATTTTGCTTTACCGTGCAACGCAAACAAACAGGCTATTTTTTGGGTAATTAAGAGAAAATCACTGTATTCAAAGAAAACACTCTTATGATTTTTAATATAAAACCTATTTAATTAATTTGATTAGATTAAAAAAGTTAGATAAGTTAGTTAATTATAAAAAATGTAACACATTTTTCTTAAAATACTATAATCATCTTTTTTAATACCCCTTCTTACTCTTCTACTTAATTATGATTGAATAAGTATTCATAGGAGTAATTTAGAGAAAACTGATAAATATGATAAATGGGTCTTATATTTAGAATAAAAACCAACTTAATAATTAGGTCTTATATTAAGGATCGGAGGAGTATATTTTAAAAATAATTATCTAAATTAAATTTAACACTAACTTTTTTCCATTTATTCGAGGGGGGAAAAAAGGGAAGGATTTCAATAAATGCCCTTGGTAGGTAATTAATATCAGTCCAACTCTCAAAACATTTTAAAATTTTAGTCAACTTGTTGAACCAAAATGAAATTAAAATTTAAGGATAAAAATACAATAATACCCCTCCTTTTTATTTTTTTTAAAGACAAATATTAATTGAACTCTGACCTCTTATTTAAAATACAGTAACCAAGGAGGGTTTGAATCCATAACTCCTAAGTACACTAAAAATATTGTGGCCACCAGGCCAACTAATCAACTTAATTATATAGTGCAAAGAAATATATATATATGTGTGTGTGTGTGTAACAAAATAAGTGTAAGTGTCCAAATGCAATGACAAGTGAAATTTAACGATTTACAAGTAGAATTTAGAAATTTTTAAAAACAATTCAGTGATTTGCAATAAATATAAAAGAGTTCATAACTCCAAAATGTGTGTTTAGATGTGGATGAGAAAGTAAAAATCCCAGATTTATAACAAAAATTTAATGATTTACAATTTAAATTCATTGATTCACAAAAAACATAAGGAAACTATAACGTCAAATGCAAATGTTTAAATGTATATAAATAAGTAAAATTCAGTAATTTATAACAAAAATTTGATAATTTACAACTTAAATTTAGTGACTTACAAGAAACATGAACACTTGTTATTTGAGGTTATGAATTCTCTTATATACTTTGTAATATTTATGTTTCTTGTAAGTCACTGAATTTGGGTTATAAATAGCTAAATTTTACTTATTCTTTCATAATTAAACACTTATATATGTGGTTGTGAATTCTTTTATGTTACTTATGAGTGCCAAATTTGGGTTATAAATCGCTGAATTTTTTTTATAAATATTTGAATTTCACTTATTTATTCACACCTAAACACTTATATTTGGGGTTGTGAATTTCTTTATATTTCTTGTAAATTGTTAAATTTTTGTTATAAATTGCTAAATTTCACTTGTTTATTTATATTTGTATTTGTTTTGTTATATATATATATATATATATATATTTCTTTGTTTCACAAGATCAAGTATATTGGTTGGTTGGACTGTTAGATTTTTTTTGCTACACCAAAAGGTCATAAGTTCAAATCCCCTTTGACCAGAGCTCTAGCAATAATTAATATTTGTTTTAAAAAAATAAAAAAGAGGGATATTATTATATTTTTATTCTTAAATTTTAATTTCATTTTAGTCCAAGAGGATTGACTAAAATTTTAAAATTTTTTGAGAGTTAACTAATATTAATTAGTTACCAAGACGTTTATTGAAATTCTCTTGAGAAAAAAAAAAGAAAATAGAAGATTTTTTTAGTAAGAAAAACCAACGATTCCATTTTTTTTTTCAAATACTCTTATAAAATTAATGATTAACGATTAGATGTTAGGCATCTGCGTCTAGTCGGAGTTAGATGAAGCAAGATTTACATCCAGGTGGGAGAGATGGGGGAGACGTTCATATTTAGTGTTTAATATTATTTAAGATGAGATTTTAATAAAAAGATATATACACTCTCTCTAGTTTTTATTATAAGGAGGCCATCAATTAATTCATACAGATGAAAAAATGACAGTTATATCAATAATTTTGTTCTAAATTACAAAAATTTTCAAATATACCCTTACAAAAAAAAGTCATTAATGATCCTATTAACCTTTTATAATAAGGATCAGAGTTTTCTTCTAGATGATCTCTTATAATGAAGACAATAGGAAGTACTTAAAAAGAAGAAAATCATAGTTAACCTTAAAAAATTAATTTTTTAATCATTTGTAATAAACATTTTCATTTTCATGATAGACTTTTATATTAAAAAAATATCATAAATAATTATTTAACTAGTAATCTAAATGATTTCATTATTTTTTAACAATAAATTTTAAAGCCAAAAACCTCTTGAATGAGATAAATCGTTGACAACCCATATCTCATTTCTTAAAGGAAGTTATAAGTCCTATGCCTCAAAGGCCAAAATGGAAAGTGTGTGAACTTGTGTGGTCGGGATTTAAATTGTTAAAATAAAAAAAAATCACGTTTTAATTTTTTAGTTCTTTATGTAAGTGATATGTTTTTGTGTTTTGACTGATTTTTTAGGGTTACGATGTATTCAGTACTCTGAACTAGTTTTTCAGATATATCCAATACTCTAAAATATTTTGTGGTGTATTTAATACCCTGAGTATTTTTTAGGTGCATCCAACACCTTAAAAAAAATTTTTACCTTAGTATTGATGCATTAAAAAATATTTTTAAATGCTGGACGTATTTAAAAAAAATACTTTGAAGTGCTAGATACACTAAAAAATATTTCACAATACAAGATACATTAAAAAAATACTTCAAAGTACTGGATACATTACAAAAAATTTTAAGATGTTGGATGTACCTAAAAACATACTTCAAAGTGCTGGATACACCTTAACCCTATTTTTTATTGAAAAAGTTAGGAAACAACAAAATATTTGATAAGATTTTACTTTTAAAATAAACTTCTAAAAATATACATTAACTTAAAAATGATTTTTATCATCTTTCAATAATCTTTTTTAATAAAATAAAAAAATTCATAAGATTTTATTTTGAAACAAACTCCTAAAAATATTGACTAATTTAAAAAAAAGATTTATTATTCTTTTTTAATTAACACTTTTTCATTTTTTTTATTTTTAAGGAGACACTATATTTTTTTCTGATAAAAATTTTTACTTTTATGATAAAAATTTTATTAAAAATGTTCTATCTAAATATAATTATTTAATTAGTAGTAACTTTTGTCATTTAATTTGTATGAAAAAAAACTTTTGTCCTTTAATTGAGAGCGAGGACGATAGGAAGTAAATATGTTATTAAAAAACAAAAGATTTTATAGGAATTTAAATTCAGAACAAACTGACAAAAATATTTATTAATTGAGAATATGATTTTTATTATTTCTTAATTATAACTTTTTTAATCATAGAGTTTTAGGAGCTGTTTGGATAAAAACAAAACTATGATTTTAAGAGTATTTTTATGGTATACAAAGTAAATATATGGAGGAGTTTGTCTTATTTTACAGAAAAATGTTTAATAAAAGAGTTGATTTCGGTTCCAAATAAGATATCTTAATTTTTTTTAATGTTTATCATTTTTTATCAAATTATTTTTTTAAAAAATTATTAATGGATACTTTTAAAATTATTTTTGGTTCCAAAAATCACATCATGATTTGCAAAATTAAATTATTTGACTTTCTAATTTATTGATACTTTTAGTTAAGTAGCTAAGAAGGAGCAAAGAAGATCAAGGGAAAAAACTGGATTGGACGTTTAACTAGAAAACTAGTAAATCGGCTAGTGATTTGAATACTAGATTAAGGCTATGTTTGGGACTACGTTTGCTCAACAATTATGTTTCGACCCACGTTTGTGAAATCTGACTTGTCGCGGCGAAATGGACTTCTGCAAGAAACTAAAAAAAGGTGCTTTTTTCTTGGGTGAGGAGGGCGTTGGGATAATACTTTTGGAAAATTAATTGGGTGTTAAAATTTTTTGCCTACCTAACCCTTATATGAATTTTCTCTCATCTCAGTTTAAAAAAAACGACACACACATTCCATTTAAAACATGCTCTAAAACTAAATGGGAGCCACATCGCAATGTCCTCCGTTAACAATAAATTAAATTTCCTTATTTTTAATAATTATATTTCTATTATTTCTTCTAAAATGGTCACATTATATATATAATTTCTTTCTAATAATAAATTAAATTTCTTTACTTTTCATAATTTTATTTTCTTTACTTCTTTAAAAATAGTCACATTGTATATATTTAATATTAGATATGTACTATGTAATAAAATTCATATCTTTTAAGTTATTTTACATTAAAACTTACTTCTATATTTATCATTCAAACAAGTTTCAATTTCTCAAATTGATTTTTACAAAACCAATCCAAAAATAAATCACGTTATACTATCTGAACTTTTACTTAATGTAACTTCTGTAAAAATCAAATTGAAAAAAAAAAATTACTTTCACTGCTATCCCAAAACACATCCCAGATAGAAATTGAATTGGAATCAACCCTAATTTGTTCCGGTGAAGTATATTAACCCATAAACTCATCAACGCTTATATGGGCCCAGCCAAACACGCCCAAAGTTCATTACTGGCATAATATCGAGTCATCGTTGTGTTGAAAATTGTTGCAGCTTCTGCAACTAGAGCAATGGCGATGCAAGGTGTGCAGAAGAACACGCTGTACGTGGGAGGGTTAGCGGAGGAGGTGAACGAGTCCATCCTTCACGCTGCCTTCATACCCTTTGGCGACATCAAGGACGTCAAGACGCCCCTTGATCAGGCCACTCAGAAGCACCGATCTTTCGGCTTCGTCACCTTCTTGGAGAGGGAGGACGCCGCCGCCGCCATGGACAACATGGACGGCTCTGAACTTTACGGCCGTGTGCTCACTGTTAACTACGCCCTTCCTGAGCGTATAAAGGGTGGTGAACAGGGTTGGGCTGCGCAGCCAAGTACGTTCTTTTCCTTTTCCTTCATCGTAGTAAACCCTAATCCCTGAATTTTCTGTCTCCCCCTTTTTTATGATTAATTTGCTAATTTTAGTTTAGTAAAAGTTGATAGTTACCTCTCATTGATTTTTGTTGTTTTTGAAATTTTTTTATTTTTTTCCTCCTAGTGTTGTCATTAACTCTATATCTAATGTTAAAATTAGACGATTATGTGCGATCTTGAGTCTTGACTATATGTATATGCAAGATATATGGCTAATGGGGTAAATATGGGGTAGAAATTCATCCATATTCTGAATATTAAGATGATACGTCCTTGGTTTTTTCAGCAGAATTTACAGAGAAAGTTTAATGATTTTCACTAACTTAAAAATCTTAAAAGTATAAAAATTGAATCTGAATAGGTTGTAATGGCAAAATAAATAAGATATGACAGTTGATCCCTTCGTGTTGCTGGGCCAGACTAAAATAACTTCATTGACGCATAGAGAATAGCAGAACTACTAGGTGGAGTCATGTAATATCTGCATAATATAACTCAACTTGAGATCATACTTGTGAATCTTAATCAATTATTCACTATTTTATCAATGACTTGAGTAGAACTTAAGTTTTACGGGCTTTTTGCTGAGGGGAGTTATCGATTTCATGTTTATTGAACTAATTATACAGATATAATTTGATTGGTAAGCTTGATTTTTCCTGTTTAATGATGGGGACAAATTGAATCAACTGTCATATTGTTGACGAGATATGCATTGGACTTAGTCTTGAAGCATGGGGTATGGGTTCGAAAGGGTCCATGTACGAAAGGACAAATTTGCTGGGTAGACATGTACTTACCCTTCTTATATGTTATACTCAACTTTGTACATTGTTTATAAAATTCTCTTGGCTCTCAATCACGAAATCTCTATATTTCTGATGCATGAATTGTAAATAATAGCTATGACAGTTAGGAGGGTGTTCCTAGTAATTGACCGCAGGGAAGCCTGAGTATATGAATAAAGTACTGTCACTAGGAGGATTACGTTTTTGAGAATCATTGAGGACTACTATTCAGATTAGCCTCTAGTCTTCTCCCCTCTTTCCCTCTTTATCCTATCTCTCTTCTCCTTCTTTCACCTTTCTTCTACACTACACCTATCAATTTACTTGCTGAAGCATAGACTCTGTTCTCGTATGTGCCCCCCATATATTCAACCATGCATCTATCCAGTACGCATGTTGCTTTTCCACCTTGCACACCCATTACTTCTATCACTTATAATTCAAGATCCATGTTTCAAAGTTACATTGATAACCAATGTGGCATTTTAATCGTGGTGAAGGATACACTTTTACTATAATCCATGGTAACTTGTGAAAGGTGAGATAATTAGTGAAGTAGAGATATAGAAATTGTGCCATCTTGGAAGTGATATAATTGCTTTTAGGTTATTTTATTAACACGCATAAACACAATTTAGTGAATGGAGATTTTTGGGATTGAAAAGCTAGATAAATTACTCTGATTTTTTGCCTTTTTATGTCAAATATATGTGAGTCTAGGGTCACTTTTGCCCTTTATGATTGATTCTATGTATTTCCGATTTCAGTTTGGGCGGATGCGGATACATGGTTTGAGCGGCAGCAGCAAGAAGAGGAAATGCGTCGTATTGAGGCAGAAAATCGAGCTGCAATGCAAGCTGCAGAAGACATACGTAGAAAACAACTAGCCCAAGAGCGAGAAGGAGAAAAGGAAGAGGAAATTGACATCAAGGATGATCCTATGGCAAAGGCTGAAGCAGAGGTTCTGAAAGAAAATGGTTCTTAATTAATAACTAAAAAAACCAGTTGATGAGAGAAACCCTGCTTTCTGTCAATTTTCTGCCTCTGCTATAATGTGTGATAACCTTCGTATGTGTGATCACAGCTTTCTATTGATTCAGAAATAGGGTAGGTAGGGTACTGATGAGTCTCACCTTCCATTTCTTATTTATTTGTCTCACCTGTATCAAGAAAATTCTGAGACAAGTATTTGGCTTCTGCTCAAATGTTTAAATGGTTTATCGCAAAACTGTTACAATACCATAAAATGAATCATGGCCATTTAGATTTAATAGTAGACTCTGCATTGCGCTGATAAATAGTAGATACCTTTTGATGTTTAATAAAAACTAGATTTGGTTTTCCGGAATGCACAGAGAGATACTTAAATCAATGTTGGCAGATGTATCAAGTCGGCTTAATATCTCCTTAAGTATCATATTTATTTAAGATATTAACCTGTAAATTGCAATTTGCACATTTTGATGTGCCTTAATTCATGCAAGTCCGCAAAAACAGAGATAATATTTAAATGATGAGAATTTCAAGCTACCATAATAAGGTGGCATGCACGTACAGAATGGACATTTAAAAAAAAAAAAAAATCTTAGTGCCTGTGGGCTTGTTTCCGTTTGCCTTGGGAAAAGTGATTTTTTCCCCCTACAAACACAACTTTGAACCTGTTCGACTCTCTATCCTCTTTACCCCACAAAGACTTTCCTCCTCTGTTCGTAAAAAATTGTCTCTTTTTTTTTGCGCAAATAGTACCTATTAGATTTCTTTGAATAAAGCCTGAAAATATTGAATCTATTATTGAAGAATAAGATGCTCAGGATGAAGAAACACAATATGTTCTTCTTTTCTCCGAAAATGAAGAAGCTGACTCTGAATTTTTATTATCCCAAGAAGATGATGATCCTCAAGGGTATTTATATTCCCTTAAACAACCCATGTATCCATCTTTCCTTATAATGTCTTTCTTTTGTTGCCTGAGATTCTGAGTATGCTTTGCACTTGCCTCTTTAAGAGGATCCTGTGCATCAGAAAATAGAATCTGACCACGATCCATGAAGGAGTGTTTAGTGACAATCTTTCTAGTTATCCTAGATCTGGTATTCAAAGCTGAGAGTCCTAACGTGGCCTGTCGATGAGTTGAGAATGGGGTCTTCGGGTAGAGATCAAATTTCTAACGTTTCTAGTGACACGATTAGTATGGTGGTAAAGGCTATAAGGGCTAAGAAGAGGTAGATATGTTTCTTGAACTCTAGTATCTTCAGGAAGATGGTCGATCTCAACAAGATTTTTTATTTTTCTAGAAAGAGTTTTACGAGCAGAGGAAGGAAGTCTTTATGAGATAAAAGGGGTAGAGAGTCGAACAGGTTCAATGCTGTTTGAGGTTTTACACATGGTGTGATAATATCTTCATACTCACTTTCACAAATAATATCTCACTTTATGTCGCTATCTGCTTTTACTTTATTAAAATAGTTTGTTCTGTAGTCTATTTCGTCTTCTTGCAATAAGTGAAGTAGTCGTCATTATTAGAGTAGCAGGTAGCATGATAATGCTTTTCTGACTCCTTGAATTGTCTGCTTACATATCCACAATAGAATCTCTTTCCATTTATTTCTCAATTAAGACAGTTCCCAAAAGTCATCAGTGGCATCAGTTTGAAGGATTCACAATCCTTTGTCAGGAATCTTTAAAGGAGGTGGTTGCTGTGCAATTCTTCTGAGAGTTTTGATAGCTGAAGTTTGCTTTGTCCCCCACGCATACACCTTACTGGTGGGAAGCATCAGATGATGAAGATGAAGATGGATGGTCTTATCTCATAAGATATGCTGCAAAGAAGAAAAAGGAGAAAAACACATCTCCTTGTTCCCACAAGAATTATCATCGTCATCATGATGATAATGATCATGGCCTGAAGCAGAAAGCTAGAAATTGGAAGGTTACTGTTCCTACCGTTCCTTTTAGTAGATTATCTCTATATGATTTGTTTAAAGAAACAGGTCATGAAGATCTTCTTCCTAAACAAATCAACAATTTTCTCATCCATTTTCATTATGGAAAAATCAAGAGTTTTTCATAAAACTCTCTTCTAAGAAGAATGAAGACATCAATCCCACACAAGCTTCTCATCCTGGAATGAATCCAGAAGATTTCAAGCTCGCCAAAGAGGAATGTACTGCACTTCTCAAACAAGGCCTTATTGAACCAAAAAAATCTGATTGGGCTTGCCAAGTGCTTTATGTTGAAAAACAGTCAGAAATCAAAAGAGAGAAGAAATAGCTTACAAGTCTCTCTATCAACAGAAGCATCCCAATAGACTTATCAAGGAGACTCGCAGCTTCAACTCACTCAGCCTGAAGGACTCCATCTCCCTCAACCAAGTTTTTAGCCACAACTTTCATTCCTTACAAGAGAATCCCAGGATCCTAACCACCTCCTTTAAAGATCCCTAACAAAGGATTGCGAATCTTTCAAACTGATGCTAGTGATGACTTTTGGGGAACTGTCTTAATTGAAGAAATAAATGGAAAGAGATTCTACTGTGGACATGCAAGCGGACAATTCAAGGAGTTAGAAAAGCATTATCATGCTACCTTCAAGGAGGTCCTTGCAGTCAAAAGAGGAATCAAGAAGTTTAGTTTTAACCAAGAATACTTTAAGATGAAATGATGTTATTTAGATAAAAGATACTTGCAAAAGCATTTCTAGAGAATGTCTGAAAAATACTATATGCTTGGAGGAGCTAATGATGTCAACCTTAGGTATACTTTTATTGCTTTTACCACTATACTAATCATGTCACCATAAACGTTAGAAATCTGATCTCCACCCGAAGACCCTATGTGAAAGAAATTGTCCAGTCTACCAGTTTAGAAAATTGTGGTCTTCCTACCTCTATCCAAAGGGTTCTTATCCTAGAAGAAGATCTAGAAGGCATTTCCTGAGATACTTCAAAAGGTGCAGGCCTGAAGGCCTTATTTGAGAAGTGCAGTACATTCCTCTTTGGCAAGCTTGAAATCTTCTGAATTCATTCCTGGATGAGAAGCTTTTGTAGGATTGATGTTTTCATTCTTCTTAAAAGGGAGTTTTATGAAAAACTCTTGATTTTTCCATAATGGAAATGGATGAGAAATTGTTGATGACTATCAGCACAAAACTTAAGAAGATGATCTCATATGCCTTCATATCCTGGTGGTGCTTGTTGGATTTCACAGAGATTAGGAATTTCAGTATATGCACTAAAGAAATTTCTCTCACATAAACGGTCATTTTATTTGGGATCATGCACTAGAACAATGTGATCCTGACTATGAATGCGATACACCTTACTGGTAGGAAGCATTAGACGATGAAGATGGATGGTCTGATCCCATCAGAAATGCTGTAAAGAACCAAAAGGAGAAAAACACATCTCCTTGTTCCCACAAGAATTATCATCATGCCAACTGTGGACAAGCTCTATGAACAACAGAAGTTCCTTAAAAGAATACTGAAAGGACAATCAAAACTGAAGCATGTTTGCAAAAAACCCCATTTGAAGATAAAGTGCAAAGATGATAAAAATTGCACTTGTTCTACCAAGAGAAAATCTCATTATCGTCAATTCAAATGTCCAAAGGGTTCTTATTCCAGAAGAAGATCGAAGAACGAGATGCTCAGGATGAAGAAACACAATATGTTCTTCCTTTCTCTGAAGATGAAGAAACTGACTCTAAATCTTTATTCCAAGAAGATAATGATCCTCAAGGGTATTTATATTCCCTTGAACAACCCGTGTATCCATCTTTCCTTGGTTCTTTGAATTCTTAGCCAGAACACAACAAAGTCATTCCCAAGCCAAATGTCAAAATTCATATCCTTCCAGGAGAGGTAGATCTGTTTCTTGAACTTTAGGATCTTCAGGAAGATGGTCGATCTTAACAAGATTTTCTATTTTTCTAGAAAGAGTTTTATGAATAGAGAAATGAAGTCTTTGTGGGGTAAAAAGGGTAGAGAGTCGAACTGTTATGCCATTTGAGCTCAAAGTTGCCCCATCACTGTTCCAAAAGGCCATGACCAGAATCTTTAAACCTATGCTAGATAACCTCCTCATTTATATTGATGACCTTTTATTCTTCTCAAAAGACGAGCATTCCCATAAAATTTTATTGTCCCAGTTTGTGAAAATAATTGAAAAATATGAGATTATGTTGTCGGTAAAGAAAGGAGAGTAAAACTTTGCAAAATTCTCAAAGATCATAATGTCTGGAACTTATCATCTCCCAAACAAAAGAGATTTTTCTGTTTGTATACTTTTTTCAGAAACTATGGTATAAATGCTACCCAAAGGCTTTACACAGACAACCATCTGCTTCTCCAGGTCACCACTCCCTCATGGCCTAGAAAAGAAAGATTCCCATCACTGTTCCAAAAGGCCATGACCAGAATCTTTGAACCTATGCTTGATAACCTCCTCATTTATATTGATGACCTTTTACTCTTCTCAAAAGATGAGGATTCCCATAAAATTTTATTGTCCCAGTTTGCGAAAATAATTGAAAAATAAAACGAAATAGACTATAGGACGAACTATTTTAATAAAGTAAAAGTGGATGGCGATATAAAGTAGTCTTCTGGCGGGTTCCTCTCATTTTCAGAGTGACACAAAAGGAGATTTTCTGATTATGGTGTTTCCTAGTCTTTGTAGATAGGTTTGTGGCTAGAGGATAGGTTCATGATACCCTTTTGATCAGGGTCATCTGAGTCATAGTGTCTCCTTGTGCAATAGAATTCTTCAAGTTTTGCGAGCCGGGTCTCATCATCTTTCTATTTGTATACATTTTCAGAAACTATGGTATAGATGCTACCCAAAGGCTTTACACAGACAACTATCTGTTTCTCCAAGTCACCACTCCCTTATGGCCTAGAAAAGAAATATTATTAATGAAAAAAATTGCACTTAATCAACTAGATACGGGAGAAGACAACTATTTCACTTATTACAAGAAGACGAAATAGACTACAGGACGAGCTACTTTAATAAAGTAAAAGTGAATGGCGACATAAAATAGTCTTCTGGTGGGTCCCCTTATCTTCAGAGTGACACAAAAGGAGATTTTCTGATGATGGTGTTCTTCTGTACCTTCTGGACATATTTTGTCTATCACCCCGACCTATGTCCTATTCAAGCGAGATCTTCCAATTGCTTGAGTAAATCAAAATGCCAAGCCGTGTTATGTCTCTCACATAAATGGTCATTTTATTTATGATAATGTGTATCTAAGCGAGATCCTCCAATTGCTTGGGTAGATCAAAATGTCAAGCCGTATTATGTCTCTCACACAAATGGTTATTTTATTTGGGATTATGCACTAAAAGAATGTAATCCTGACTGTGAATGCGATACACCGCTATCCAACACGACTCAAAAAAAAAAAAGTCAGTTGGGTCATTTAGAACAATTTGAATTTGGCATTTATAGTAATTTTAGCTTTTATGTATAAGTTGCTATAAGTGTATTATTCCTTCCCCCTCCAAGGGGATTCGTATAAACTGACTCACCGCTATTCAACACGACTCAAATTGGCCTGTGTATTAAAGCTACTTTTGTCCCTAAATTCAATCAGGCAAAAGCTGATCTAAAGATGAGCAATGCTTGTTTTGTTGTTTTTAACTTATGTTCTTCAAACTTAGCCCAAAAAAACAAACATGAGGAATCTCATTATCATCTTGACAACCCTAAACTGTAGTAAAGGAAAAATACAACATCAAAACTGTGAAAAATATAGGACACGTGAAACAACTTTGGAACAAAACTTGTAACTACTCCATCCATGGTCAAATTAATCAATTGACGGCAACAAAATGAATGAACTTTTATTTTAATAGAGAATAGCACAACCATCATACTCCCACGGCATCGTCTTCGTGTTTTGTCCTGTCTCTTCTTTTCTTAGATGATAGAAACGCATGTCCATTAATGACTTGCAATAAGCGGTCATGGTCTATGCTTTACTAGGGCATGGCCTCTTGCTTTGTTGGGTGGGTAAACAAAGTTAACTTGCTGAACCATCTATATGGTTCAGTCTAATGCAGGCCATCACCCATGGATATGTCTCTGTTAATTAGAGGAAAGAGAATCATGATTTGAGCATTGATTGTCCCATTCTTTAGATGCAAAAGAAGAAAATGAGATAACAAAATTGCACCACAATTAAGTTGAGATAGGAAAAATGATTGAGTTACAGGCATACTATTTTTTTTTTCAATGGAAAATTACAGGCATAATATTGATAACATTAATCATCTTACAAAAATGTTGAAACAAATTGAAATAAAAACGAGACAAATTTGAGGACTGCGTTAATAAAACTATGTTCATTATCTCGTTACAAATGTTGTCAAAAACTCGATTGCAATTTTACTTTCACCCAGAGTACTTCACGCTTTTTGCCCTGTGGCAACAATCAGCTGTCTCTTTGAACTAGAAAGTAGCATCACTACGAATGCTTGCATAATTCAAAAAGACCGCATCATTGTCTTGTCTCTTTTCTTTGATGATAGAAACGCATGTCCATTAATGACTTGCAATAAACAATCATGGGCTATGCTGTAGGGCTTGTTTGAAATAGCTTAAAAGTAACTTTTCAATCATAATTTATGAAATATGACATAAGTATGTGAGAAGAGTTTTATCTCAACTTATATAAAACATACTTATAAATAATTTCTAATGTCATGCCAAACAAGGCTTTAATAAGGTACAGCCTGTTGCTTTGTTGGGTGGGTAAACAAAGTTAACTTCCTCAACCATCTATATGGTTCAGTCTAATGCAGGCCATTGCCCATGGATATGTCTCTGTTAATTAGGGCAAAGGGAATTATGATCTGAGCATAGATTATCTCATTCTTTACATGCAAAAGAAGAAAATGAGATAACAAAATTGCACCACCATTAAGTTGAGATAGGAAAAATGATGAAGCTACAGGCATGCTATTTTTTTCTTCCATGGAAAGTCACAGGCATAATATTGATACCATTAATCACCTTACAAAAATGTTGAAACAAATTGAAATAAAAACGAGACAAATTTGAGGACTGAGTTGATAGAAGTATGTTCATTATCTCGTTACAAACGTTGTCAAAAACTCGATTGCAATTTTACTTTCACCAAAAGTACTTCACTCTTTCTGCCCTATAGCAACATTCGGCTGTCTCTTTGAACCAAAAAGTAGCATCACTACGAATGCTTACATAATTCACAAAGACCACATCATTGTATGCATTTTGAGCGATGGCTTTTCTGTCTCTGAATTGCATTGCAGAGCTTCACAGCATCTAGGTTGTCTCTAACGTTATGCACCCTTATAATGTCAGCCCCACCAAGAACACTGGTTGTAACACAAGCAACTGTTGCGGCATCCCTCGCACCTGCATCTGGTCGAGAGCAAATTTCGCGAAGAAAACTCTTCCTTGAAGGTCCAATTAACAAAGGAGCATGAGATATGGCCAAACTTTTTCCAGCAATCTCTGCTCTGATATCAGGTAGTCCCATGAGAATGTCCAAGTTATCTTCAGTTATTTTTGAAAATCCAATACCAGGATCAATAATAATCCTCCATGCTGGGATGCCTGAGAGCTCCGCCTCTTGGACACGCGAGTATAATTCAGAGCCTATTTGCTTACAAACATTATCATATTGCAGGTTCTCGGTATTCTGCATGTTAGAAGGGTCCCCCCTCATGTGCATTGCAACATAAGGGACATCAAGATCTGCAATGACTTTGAACATATTAGGGTCTAATTTTCCAGCAGATACATCATTTATAAGATGAGCCCCTCTACTAACTGCTTCTGAAACAACTTCAGAGTAGAAAGTATCAATGGATATAATCTTTCCCGTTGCCTCAGGCATTCCCAGAACAGCTTCTAGGACAGGGATAAGTCTGTCCAGTTCTTCTTGAACAGAGATTCTAGTGGCATTTGGCCTTGTAGATTGAGCTCCAATGTCAATCATATCCGCCCCCTCAGCAATCATTTTGCGGACCTGTGAAACAGCAGAATCTACAGATTGAAATTTACCCCCATCGCTGAAACTATCTGGGGTCAAATTAAGAATGCCCATTACTGAAGTTCTTTGTGACCAATTTAGCAAGCCACCTGCAATAGGTAAGACTCTTTTCAAACCTTCCTCTCCAATAAGGGATTCACCACCTAACCTCTTCCATGCTTCAGCAAATCCACCAGAATGGCCTGAAAAGGAATGCCAGCAATTAACCGTGTCATTGTCCAAAGCTGATCCCACCAAATCCATCAAAGGGGCTACCACAAATGGTCTTTCCCAAATTCTTGCATGAGGTACAGCCAGAATATCGGAGCTTACCTTGTATTTTCCATAAAATAAAATATCCAAGTCAATTGGCCTCGGACCATACCTTATACCACCATCCTTACGGCCTAAGTCCTTCTCGATTTTTTTGAGTTCAGCCAATAACTCATGTGGCCCAAGTTTAGTAACTGCTCTCACTGCTGAGTTTAAAAAATAAGGTTGATCAGTCACATATGCTGGTGCACTCTCGTACAAACAAGCATGCCTTGTGATATGTATGCCTGACTTCCTCATTAACTTCAAGGCCTCCTTGAAATTCTGTAGTCTGTTGCCTACATTACTTCCCAAAGCAATCACAACTTCCTGATCTTCTGAGTGAAGTTCAACTGAGGAATCAGAGGCAGAGTGAAGGGAGGAAAAACCAAATGCTGCAATGAAAATTTAAAACAGAATCAGGTAATTTGCTTTGATCAATTGTCTAAGTAACCATTATCTAAGTAACTATTGAACATCTTATCAAAGAAAATTCACAGTATTCTATAAATAAGATTTTTTTTTAAAGGAAAAAACATCACTAATAAGAGTAGTTTGAGGGCACCAAATATACCTTGAAAGTGCTTTCTGATGAAAAGAAGCTTATGTCTGGCGGACCGCACATGCTTCAGGATATTCATAGGAGGAACAACTTCTTTGATGAGTGTATACATTCAGCCCAAACACTATTTGGTATCCTAGCCATTCAAGATAATATAAGAAACAACTGACACTTCTCTAACCAAAAAAGGGAGAGATTTCACACCATAGCCATTAAAGTTGAAAAATAAATAATATAAGAAAAACTTATAATTGAGAATTTGAAGTTATACAAAAGAAATTTAAATTTTAAAATTATTTTAAAAGAATCAAATATTTAAAATCTATACCATACAAAAATTATAGTAAGATTCCTTTACAATAAAAAGAATAAAGGACAACATAAATATCTTTTTTTTTTTTTTAGGAAATATCAAAATCTTAACCAATTCAAAAATATTTAATTTAAAATCTTTAATAATAATTTTAATAAAATCAACATCCTGCATGGCTAAAGCCCAAGTGTTCATATGTTTTCACATCGTTGGATTTTGCTTATTTGATGGACAGACAAGAGAACAGACTGGTCTTCTAGGCACATCATCAAACACCTGGCGTGCCAGAGAAGAATAAAAGCATGGACTACTTACCTTAATTTCTTTCAGATTGCCATTGGTAACTGATGCCTTTTATGGGTATCTAAAATAGGAAAGTGAAAAGAAATAATCAAATTCAAGAGAAAAATTTGATGAAAAGAGGACCCTCTGAAGCACACACCACAGTAGGAAGAAGACTCGCTGAGAGGAAAGAGGAGGGAGAGAGAAACAAAGTCTTTTCTTTTGCCTTCGCAAAATGGCTAAACAAAATTATATGGTTACGCAAGAGGTTAAAACGCCAAAAACCCTTGTCGTTTTGTTCCATTTCTTAAACCTCGCACCTCAAATCCAGCAAAACAAAGGCATCATCTTCTTGTCCCGCTAAGCTTTTGGCATGGCTAAACAAACTTCTCATCTGTATTTCTGACTTTCTGCTCTTTCCATGGCGTGCCTTTCTTACCTTCAGCTTCTCCCACTTCCCAGGTCCTCTCTCTCTCACCCACTCACACACACGCAAACTGAATCCGTTTATACCCTTTGTGGTAAATTATAGATACCAATTTTCTTGTTCTTGTTCTTCTCCTATTAGCTCCTTTATGCTACGTATGGATTACTCATGAAATGAGTTGTAGGAAAGTATGAAAATTTCCCGTGTCTGGTCTAAGAGCCTGAGTTTTAGCTGCACTTTAGAATTTGCAATATTCGTATTTTGTTGGAAAATCGTTGTATTGGTTGAATGTGAGGTCTTTGGTCTTTATAATTATGCAGGTACAAATTAAACTGGTCGTATTATGCTTCTTCAAACTTAGTGCAACTTCGAGAACTCAAGTCAGGCTGTAAATGGGGTCCTCTTTCCATGGCTAAGAAGACAGCTGCTTCTCTGGGTTCGGTAACAGAACAATCCAACGAAAATGAGTCTATAGAGGAAAAGAAGACAACTGGATCAGCCAAAAGAAAAAGGGCTGCCACTAAGACTAGGAAAAAATCAACTGATGAGTCCCCAGAAGAGAACAGTAATTTATTGGTAACTAGTGATGGCTCCACCGAAGAGAGTTCATCTGCCTCAAGTGACGATTCCAAGAAGAAATCTCGAAGGACCCGAAGAAAAGGTAATTCCTTAGATAAAGCTGGTCCTTTTTGGTGATATGTGATGCTAATGAGTTCTGAACATCCTTTTTCGAACAGATGCATCTAATGCTGCTGGTGTGGAAAAAGAGAAGAAAGAGAAGAAGGTCAGGACACGAAAAATACCTAAGAAGGAGGATGTAATTTTGGAGGATAAGGGCAGTGAGGCTGAAATTAGTGACCAGGATGAGCCTTCACTTGTTGAAAATGTTGATGAGGAGATTGAAGATGACCTAGAACTGATAAAAGATGATGGAGAGGATATTAGCTTTACTTATGGTTGGCCTCCCCTTGTTTGTTGCTTTGGATCTGCACAGCATGCTTTTGTTCCTTCGGGGAGGCCAGCCAATAGACTTTTAAATTACGAAATCCATGAAAGGATGAAGGACGCTCTGTGGAGCCCTGAAAAATTTGTTAGGGCTCCTGGGGGCTCTGCTGGTAGCGTTGCTATTGCACTTGCAAGTTTGGGTGGGAAAGTTGCTTTTATGGGGAAACTTGCAGATGACGATTATGGTCAAGCCATGCTGTACTATATGAATGTAAACAATGTTCAGACAAGATCAGTCCGTATTGATAGTAAAAGGTCAACAGCAGTATCATTGATGAAGATTGGAAAGAGGGGTCGATTGAGGATGAGTTGTGCCAAACCCTCTGCTGAAGATTGTTTAACAAAATCTGAGATCAACATTGATGTGCTGAAGGAGGTATTGTACTTAAACCCCGAGCGAGAAGCAAGTTTTGCAGAATTAAAGAGAATTTCTGCAACTTATAACTTGTAGCCTTTTTTTGGTAGATATAGCAGTATTATCAAGCTTGAATTGCTGCATCATAATGTTTTCCCTCTCTAGGGAACTAGTCTTCTTCAGTGGCTAATTGGAAGATCTAACCTATTTAAATAAAGTTCGTGATTCTGATGTTCTTGTCTTTTATCATTCTCTAGTTTGCAACCATGCAGCTATTCCATTGAATTAATGTATTGTGGGTTGACAAGTTTGTTACAATTGCAGACACGGGTTCATTTGGGTATAATCATGACTTTTTTCTCACAGGATTTCATGTCAGGCATGCTTGCTTGCCTGAGGCCTTTTGGTTTCTGTATTTATTGTACTTCTTGCTTACTTAAGTTATCCTACGTTTTATTTAATTTTTGCTGCTTGATTGACTAAACTAGTCCCATATGCTTATTGACTATTTTAAGAACATCTCTTGCAGGCAAAGATGTTCTACTTTAGCACACATTCCCTGCTTGATCGTAGCATGAGGTCCACTGCATTGCGAGCTGTCAGAATTTCAAAGAAATTGGGAGGGGTTATTTTTTATGATCTAAACCTTCCTATGCCACTATGGCACTCTATAGAAGAAACTAAGAGTTTCATCCAGCAAGCATGGAACCTTGCAGATATTATTGAGGTCACTAAGCAAGAATTAGAGTTTTTATGTGGGATCAATCCATCTGAAGAATTTGACACCAAAGACAATGACAGGTCTAAGTTTGTCCACTATGAACCTGAAGTCATTGCACCACTATGGCATGAAAATCTTAAGCTTTTGTTTGTGACTAATGGGACTTCTAAGATACATTACTACACTAAGGAGCTTGATGGTGCTATTTTGGGGATGGAGGATGCTCCCCTTACCCCTTTTACTAGTGATATGTCAGCATCTGGAGATGGCATTGTTGCAGGTACATTATAGTGAATTTATGGTGTTGCGCCTCTATTATTCTATTTCATTTTTGCACTTGTTTCTCAAGCAGTTGTATTCTTCTGAGATCAATGTCGCAAGGTTCATGACCTTGCATTTTTACCAAAGGCAACGCCAGTCCATTCAAACATGCAACCCTAGAAAAAGAATTTTTACATAACCTTGTGAGATGTAGAAGAAATGCGAAGGCCTGGACATTTATTGCTGTTTACTTGGACTTCAAACATGCTTGCCGTTGTCTTATTGTTCTGAAAATGCACCAAAGTATTCTGGCAAACCATCGCATGTTCTCAGATATTCTGAATTGTTTCCATCTTTATCTGTTCTATATTCCACTTAAGCCAGCTGCAAATTTTGTATTATTGTTTGCTCTAGATGAAGTCCTAGGGTGAAAGTTGTGTACTAGACTTTGTTTCTGATACATGGCATCAGACAAAATTTATATATGAAACCACTACTTTGAGATCATGAGTAACCAAGCGCATATTTGCATTGGTGGTGAGCCCCCAACTTAATACCCAAAAGCAATTTTGGATGCAGAAGCAACTCTAAAGCTGTGTTGCTCTGGTTGAGCGTGATTCTTGGGAAAAACACATTTTGGATGACTTGAATGTCAAATAAAAAACATGCACTAAATGGTTTTCCTAAGGAGACTTGATCCTTTAGCATCTATGGATCTGTATTCTGGAGATGATTTTTTTAAGGCGCTGATGACCTAAATAAGTTTCTGAAATCTGAATTTATGTAGTTTTTATGATTTTGCTTGTTCCCCATATTAAGCTCTATTTTTCTCAGTTCTCCATCTTCGTTGATCCATGTTCATGATTTCTCAGTTCTCCATACTTTCGCTTTTTTTTCTCCAGCTATCATGCGGATGTTTTCAGTTCAGCCTGACCTGATAACTGATAAAGGATACATTGAGCATACGATCAAGTATGCAATTGACTGTGGAGTTATAGACCAATGGTTGCTTGGGCGACAGCGTGGCTTCCCTTCAACTGAAGATATGGAAGAAGTAACTCCTGATGAAAATGGCATAAGGTCAATTACAGAGAAAGATTACCGCACATTGATGCCCGTTGATTGATCCAGGTGATACAGCTGTTTAAAATTTTTTGGTGTCTTAGGGCTCAGCAGCTATTTATAATCCCTGTACACAAAACTTAGTGTTTTGTTCTGTGTTTCTGCTTCCCCTTTGCTAGAGGTAAATGTGCCATAAAATTTTGTATTATAAATTGTTACATTATGAGAATGGCATCATAACCAAAGATTAAGAAATTTCTTTTGACCTTCCTTGGCAACGATCCTTTATTTATATCAGTCCTAATATTTTTAACCTTAGTATAACTTCACTTTGAAGGGTTTGGTTAAACCAAGCAAGTCGATATTCTGCGATGAGGTGTAATTTGAGATTTTTGGTCATGTGTGAAGACAGATCTTGAAGTGGTGCAAAATTCCAATTACCAATTTCGTCTTCTTACTTCACACCTTTTAGTGATATACCTGCCTCTCTTACATTGCTAGAGAGATGAGATAATGGCCTAACAGCTCTTAGTTACAGTTACTCAGCTAACAAGCTACAAGCTGTTTTGACAGCTTTTAACCGCCTAATCTCTCCAGGTTACAATGTGCGCCATACCATTACGTGTGTTTCTTTGCACTTAAATTTGTTATGGGATAAATTTGTATTGATTAATTTTTGGTGATCTACGTATAGTGTTTATGAGGGATTCACTATTTTCTGACTTGCAAATAGATCGAACACGTCTCCCTTGTGGATTGCGGCTTTTTTTTATTTTTATTTGGAATTATCTTATGTTCTGTTCTGAGACTATTTGTTCACTAGGTTTGAGGATTTCCTATTCTCCAACTTCCTGTACTATCTTATCTTCTAAATAAAACTTCTTTTATCAAAAGTAGAAATTCTCAACTCTGCTTGATTATCAGATCCAACAGAAATATAAACATATAAACACTTGAACCAGCCAGTGACTCTTCTTAGATTCCTGAAACAGTATCAGGTAATTAGAAGCTAACGGGATAGTTTCTACCAAAAGCGTCTGATAACTCTATTTTTTACCCTGTGCTCTTCCATCAACCAATTTTCATGAAGAAGCTGAACGTTTATGTTGTTATTTAGCTTCAGCTTCCTTTTAAGTTCCCTAAATGTTAGTAATGAGTTTTAGGTTGCACAGTTTCTTTCAGTTGTGTTGCTTCTATTGCCTCTCCTGTTCTGTTTGTTCCATAGTGCAGACCTGGTTATTATAATGATGACATTAATGTTTGATTAGAAGAGAGAAAATTCCCTTACTTTCTTGGAGGATCTAGCTTCTTAATTTCTTACAAAGTTGTCCGCTTCAATTTCACAGAGAGCATGAGTTTGTGTGTGAGAAGGAGAGAGGGAGAGAGGGAGAGATTGTAGGACCCAATTGAGGAACCCACCATGTGCCTCTTACTGTTAATCTCAATCTGCCATGGAATCACTCTTAATGGTGCTTGGGAGCATACTGTTAACATTTTGGCATGCCAACTTGAGTTTATTCTCTATTTTAGTTTAACAACACTCCGAGCTTTGATTATTGCACTGAATTCCCTACAAATTTTATTTTAGGGTATATAGCTTTGTGTGTGTAAGAGTCTGCTTTAGTTTAATCTTAGTAAAATAAGATTGAAGCGCATGGGTTTTTTCTTTTTTGGAACATGTATGGAACACTAAATGTAGGCATTTCTTTTAGTGGGAGTTTAAATTTTGGTTCACTATACTATGAAGAACTAACTCTTTCTGCTAGGTTTGACCTTCTTGGTAAAGACAAAATATTTGACCAAGTTATACTAGCAAGCTTTATATAAAAGAAAACAACAAAACAAATAGTGAGCCCAGCAAGCCATTGTTTATAAAGTTTTTAAAGCAGGGAAAATAATTAAAAAAAATACTTGTTGATTTTTAATGAGATAAATAGGTCATGCTAATTATTCTTGTACTAATTTTAACTACTTTTATAATGATTCTAACATATTAAAATCCGTCAAAATTACCTATTATCATTTTAAAACTCATTTTTTGTCATTCTTTTTAAGTTTGAGGGTGAAGGTCATTCTCTCTTTTCTCCTCAATTTTTCTCTCATGGCCTTGCATAAAAAAATTGGGGAAAATTTATTCAGCCCGAATACAAGGCTCTGACATTTTGCTTTGAAAATTATTATCTTTTGTAAAAATTAAAGCTATCTTTTACACTTGTTCTGATTAGAAAAAAAAAATGCATTAAATATATTAGCTTAAAAGCGTAATTTTTTCCTTCTACATGAGTGAGCAAAAAATTAATCGTTTATAAAAAAATAAAATTGAGAGAATGATAATTTAATAAAACTTTTAGAGGTGTTAATGTAATGCATTGTTTTAATTATTTTTAATTTCGCGTCCCTTTAATAGTTTTTATAAATAAAAAAAATTTCAAATGTTTTATCCAAAGTCATTAATTTTGTGGATGGATTAGCTATCAACAATTGAGATCAATATAAAACAATTAACAATGGGCCAAACATAAAATAAAAATTTGTATCACTGCTAATTAATATCATAAATAAATAAAAATGAAAGAGTTCACTTTTTTTATAGACAACTCAAGATTAACCAATTAAAAGATCGATCTAAAATTGTTTAATATGCAGCAAAATGAGGAGGTTAAAGATTTTATGCATTATAATTTATAAATAAATATAATAAACATGTCTAAAAGAGTTTTTATTAAAAACATTAAGTTTTAATGCGATATCACTGATTTCAAAATTTATAATTAAATCATTGAAGTTAAAAAATGATGGGAAATTTTCAGATAAAGACCATTATAGCTAAAAAAACTTCATGTACCCCCAAAATAATCTGAAATTTCACTGCAATCTGGGAGGGTTGAACTGAAATTAATTTATGCAGCAAAAAGACAGAAATGACCTCAGCAGAAAAAAAGAAGAAATAGCAAATAGATATGGGTATTAGTAATTAAAAAAGAGAGGATTAACAACAAAAATAGAGGGATTAACAATACAAATAAGGGATTTAATAAGAAATATAAGGGCGTTAACAAACACAAGTGGATTAACAACAAAAATAAGAGAATTAACAACACAAATAAAGGGATTAACAAGAAACAAAAGGGCATTAACAAGAATCGCAAGAAGATTAACAACAAAAATAAGGAGATTAATAAAAAAAAAACATAAGGTGACTAACAATAAACGTCATAAGAAAAGTAACATCACAAGGGAATTAACAAGAAACATAATGGTACTAACAACAAAAATAAGAGGATTAATAATAAGTGAAAATTTATTGCAAAGAAATAAAAAGCAACAATTTTCTGCCACAAAAACAATCTTTTTGCAATAAATTTTCATTCATTATTAATCTCTTTACGTTTCTTGTTAATGCTCTTATGTTTCTTGTTAATCCCCTTATTTTTGCTGTTAATTCACTTACATTTTTTTATTGATGCTCTTATATTTTTTTGCTAAATCCCCTGTTTTGTTGTTAATCCATTTATTTGTGTGGTTAACCTTTTATTTTTGTTGTTAATCCTCTCATTTTTATTGTTAATGCCCTTATGTTTCTTGCTAATTGCCTTACTTTTGTTGGTAATTCCCTTATGGTGTTTCTTGTTAGTCCCCTTATGTTTCTCATTAACCTCCTTATTTTTGTTGTTAATCTTCTTGCATTTGTTGTTAATAACTTTATGTTTCTTGTTAATCCCTTTATTTTTTGTTAATACCCTCATGTTTATTATTAATTCACTTACGTTTTTCGTTAATACCTTTATATTTCTTGTTAAATTCCTCATTTTGTTGTTAATCCTTTTATTTGTGTTGTTAATCCCCTTACGATGTTTTAATTCCCTTATTTTTGCTGTTAATTTCCTTTTTTTTGGTTAATCTTTTTATTTTATTGGTAATGCACATATTATCGGTTATTTCTTCTTTCTTTCACCTAGGGTCATTTCTGTCTTTTGGTCTACGGAAAATTTCAGTCCCCTAAACTCCAGTGAAATTTCAGAATATTTTTGGTGTAAATAGAAATTTTTTATCTACGGTGGTCCTCGTCTGACAATTTTCCAATAATTAATGTTTAAACTCTGTTATGAAACCTTTTTTCAGTTAAATTTTACAATGAAATCCCTTTAGGTCTTAATTGGAAAAACTAATGCTGTTATTTTTTTTTTGGGGGGGGGGGGGGGGAATAAACGAACTGCTTATCATTCAAACTTCAGAGGAGCCATATCCAAATATTACTTTTATTCCCTAATATAAAACTAGTCAACTAATTTGACAACATTAAAAAAAAAATTTACTTAGTTACTTGTAATAAATAAGTGTCGAGTTTTTTAAAATATTCTTACTGTGCATTGAAAAATCTTGATAAAACCCCTTAAATATGCAATTAATAAAAATATAGTAAAAGAATCATAAATTAAAAAGACAAAGTGAACTAAAATATTATATTTAAAATTAAAGTAAACTTTTTCTTTAAACTCTTATATTAAAAGACTGGAGTTAGTAATTCACAAGTGGATTAGTTCATTTACACTATCAAATAAATCAAACCAATTCAGTGATATATTTTTCTACTCAGTTCATTTCTCACAGAATATAAACAAAGCACAAATTAGCATTGAACCGTCCCCAAAAAGGGATAAAAATGAAAACAAAACCAAAAAAAAAAAACTTTTAATACTTCATTGGAAAAAAAGAGACCATAAATTAGGATTTCAAATAAACCACTGTAATAACAAGAGGCTGGGGGGGAATGAAGGAAACACAGAACCTGACTTGCCTCTCTGATTCGCTTACATGAAAAAAGACCATCATCAAAACTTCAGTACTCTCCAAGAGGAAACAGAACCATACTAGGGCACTTTCAATGACGCTCTCAAAAACTTTATTGGCCGCTTACAAAAAGGATCATCACACTTCTCCAAAAGAACCCCCCAGAAGAGAGCAAGAAAAGGCAAAATGGAGGTGTTTTTTTTTTTTTTTGTCATGGCAGAATCTATGGATCCAAAGTTGTTTTTTCAAGTTTACTACATACAAACTTAAACCTCTACAAGGTACCTGCTCATACTACTTGGACAAGTTGGAAGCTTCAAGTTTCGAGGCAGCCGGCCTATCCAAAAACCATACCAACCTCCCCTTCCCAGGCTGGACCATCCTTGCCGGTATTAATGGGCCTTCAGGTCCAACGTCATCTATTGCCAAGCGTACAGCCTCTGCTTTGCCGTCACCGGTGACGACCACTGCTACATTGGATGCAGAATTTATGACAGGCATGGTGAATGTGATTCTCTCAGGTGGAGGTTTTGGGGAATCGGTAATGAAAGTTACCCATTCTTCCCTCTCATTGAGTGCAGGGTGATTAGGAAACATAGAGGCAACATGACCATCTGGACCCAATCCAAGAAGGATGAGATCAAACTTTGGGCAGTCACTGATTTCAGACACGTTGACCACACGAGTTTTCACCAGCTGTCGGATGACAAATTCATAGTCATCGGCAGCTTCTTCCGCTGACATTGAATCGTTTATAGAATGCACATGGCTAGGAACAATAGGTACCTGCTAATATGACTAACAGATGATCAGAGTAGGATGATAAAATGACTAAACCAGGTACAACCTTAACATCATTTTTACACATCGATGGATAACAGCGAATTTGTATCCAGCGACTAACCCTAGTTGACTTTTCCCCCCTCAACAGTTGAACAACAAATAAAGCAAAACTGAATTGTTCTAACCTTCCCATCATAAATTAATAATCAATAAGCATCATTTATATCTTACAAGGGAAAAAAGGTATACAAATCAGGATGTCCACAAGGAACATGCCACTAAAAGAGAAAACAAAGACGACGGCCCCTAAAATATGAGGAAAATCAAAAGTTCCTTTTTTTCTTCAACTGGACCTTAAACAGCAGGAGACAGGATAACTAACTGATAAGTTGAACACAGACAATAGTAACGGCCAGAGATGAACTTGAAGCCCGAATAATGACATGTCGCATATTGATATTCACTGAGTTGTTTGAATTTTCAAGCTACAAACTATACAAAGAGATTGCACAGCTTTATTATGTCAATAGGCATCTTAGGACATCTGTTCCCGTGTTCTGTTTTAAGCATTTAAAGTATTTCCTGATTTGAAAATATCTTGTCCTCCAGCTAGTTGCTGATTTTTCTCTTTCTAGGAAAATCTCTAAGTCGATTGAAAAAAAAAAAAAATTAAGACAAGACAAACTATGTCATCATGTAACCAACAAAGGCCGACAAGAATTGCATAGTATGAACAATAACCCACACATCTTTTCTTTTCTGTTGTTTTCTTTTTCTTTTTTGTAGTCATTTAAAAACCACAACAGCTGGAACGAGAGATTCATCAAATAGCAAGTTTTATGACAACTTCTACAGCACATTGCATGGCTTGAGCATACAGGTAACAGGATTGCTTTTGCATCAATGCAAGAGGAATTCACACGGATCCCACCTTGCAAAAAATCCTGGTCCTTGTAGCACAAAATATAGAGTGCACCATAAAGTACTCAAGATGGCTAGCTCATGAAATAACGTCACACATCTCCAATTGCCATCCTATCAATAAGTAGGAAAGTATTTTCTTATTTAGCAATAAAAGTTTCTTGATATTCTAAGAAATATCTTTGGAAATCTCATAAACTGCATAGAACAGTCATGGGATGATTCAGGAAATCAGTCCTCTAAACTGCCAAATATAAGGGTTTAGGGTAATTATGTTTTCTATGCGACATAGCAGGTTTGGCACTCTATTCCTTCCAAAGTAGTGCCTATCAAACATTTTAGCTCAAAGTAACGTGCAATCCCAGGCAGAAGAATGAAACACCCCAATTTGCAGGGCATAGACAGACAGATTGCAAAAGAGAAGATTTTTACCCAACATAACTAGGCACTACTTCCTTCCTAAACGTGCCAACATAACAACCAAGAGAATTCAAATTTCAACAAATCTAGAGCATGAAGTGAGCACAAACTTAACAACAGTAGGACCAATGCACCGGTTAATAAACTAATAATCTAGGAATACAGGAAAAAGAAAAAAGACTCCAGGAATTAATCATAATTAAAATCCAAATAAGGAGACAAGCAATTATCCAGTAAATCAAGGAATCCAGTTCCACAATATATATGGTTAAGATTTCATTGCACAAAAACAAGGAAACCAGCTTTCCTATTATAGTCAAATGATTTCAAATATCCCAATGAAGGAAGCAGTTAAAAAAAAAAGATCATCAAGCATACAAAACTCACTTATACAATTGACATATAACAACATCCATGTTGGTGAGTATAGAAGGACAAGCATGGATCTACCAATTTGCCTGGTATAAACGAAGGACTTTCAACTAATATATAGGTATATATCTGTCCTGTATAAAAGCAATGTCATGTGAATCAGCCTTTCAGACCTACCCCGCCCCCTTCCATCTATGAACTTGAAAAAGGTAAATAAAGTATACCTCCCAGTGCAGTTCATAGATATTCCATCATTTAAGAGCCTTAATGTCAAACTTAGTGTTAAAGATAAAAATATAACTACAAATAACGGAAGCAGTGATGAACATGAGAAATCAAGATCAAGGGCACAACCTGCGACAAAAGGCCATCCTTTGCAAGCTTATAATTGCTATCAGCATGATTTTTAGCAACAACACGCTCATCAGCCCAGAAGATGTACCATTTGGACCAGTCAACAGTCTTGTTATAAGGAGCCTCGCAGAGTTTTCTGTTTGCCACCATAAATTTAAACCCAAGACCAAATCATAAAAGCAAAGGAACATATATGGGAAAATACAAATCACTGATACCCCATTAAGCCAATGAGAGAACCACCAGATAAAGCAATGGCAAAAACTCCCCGTTCCTTCACAGATATCTCTGATATTTCAGCAATATAGTCAGCCAAATCCGTCTTCAGCTCATCCAGACTCTCATGAATCCTCAACTCTCCTCTATCTTTGTGACCACCAGAGAGAGCCATGCTTGGAAGGAATAGCTCTTGTTTCAAAAATAAATAAATAAAGCAAAGAGAGCATTAGAGAAAATTCCAATGAAGACATGTATACTCCAAGAAAAACCATCTATAGATTGCTGTTAGCGGTAGCACTGATAAGCATACACAGCTTTGACTTTATGCCCTCCCCCCAAAATCTAAATAACAAAGGCAAACCCAAAGTGTTTAAGATCATGCTTCACAGATTGAAACAAAAATCTAAGCAAGGGGGAACAATAAGGATACAGATCATTTTATGCCTATAAATTATATGACTTAATTAAGTCATTGATAGCAGAATCTAAAAATAGTATAAACCCATTACATGATATGATTCAACCTAAATTTCTCAATTCGCAAGTGCAATCTTTGTGCAGAAAAACAAGGCAATTTAACAAAAGGATCATCATCATCGTAACGCAAACTGCCATGGATCGACGTCAACCAAAGGAATACGGGAATCAAAGTTTACACTCTACGATAGTGGAAAAATTTTTTGACAGGAAAAAAAATCAAACGCCTGCAGCTCAGATCATAGAACAAACTCAATTCTCATCTCCGTGAAGCAGAAACCACAAAATTATATAACCGTGAAGGCTAATCATAATCTCATGCAGTTCAAAATAACTGGCAGAAGCATAATCGATACTGTAAGAAAGAACGATCGAAGGGAAGAAAGAAATGCTCACAAGAACAGAGGAAGAGTAGATGGGTGGCAGAGAGAAGAAGCTGTCGAAGGTGAAAATGGGTCTGAGCACGAAATATATATATACACACATATATACCCAGAAGACCACAATCCATTGATTTACTGATCATACATAAAATTTCAAAGGGCAATGCTATCTGAGAAGAAATTTTTACCTCGCGAGTTTTCACGTGCAACCAATGATCGTGACAGAACACACACACGAACTCTCTCCCCCCCCTTCTCTCTCTACACGGTAAACAGAAAAAGAATTTAAACAGATTTTAAGAAAACCATAAAGAGCCTTTCTTCTTTGCTTTGTCTACTCTGCATTTACAGATAAAGAGAAAATCGCAGGATCCTAGATCTCCTGCTATAACATCTCAGAGATAAACAGAAAGATGCAAGAGGAACAAATCATAAATTCCAATTTTTTAATACCAGCTACAACAGATCAGATTTAAAGATAACTCTCCTAATATTAATTGTTAATTGATTTCCTTTTTTTAAATTAATCCCAGTTAATATTTTCTAATTGCATCTCTCATATTGGCATACCCTTAAAAAAAATTTTAAAAATAAAATAAAATTAAAGTAACTAATATAATTCAAAAACTATAAAATAATTTATGACTTCCTTATATGAGAGAAAAAAATATAGATATATGCATATGTGTTTCAATAAGTATTATTGCCTGATTGGTTTGTATTAGCTCCTTGGAGGTTAGCAAATGACACTAACACTCTGTTTGGATGAGAAGAAAAGTTGAGAAGAAATAAAATGAGAAGAGAGGAAATGGAGAGAAGAGAAAATTAGAAAGAAAATATTATTACCTCTCATGTTTGGATGAACAAATGAAAACAAAAAGAAAAGAAAATAGGTAAATATATGAATGACTAAAATACCCTTTCTATTATATCAAAATATATCTTGATTAAAATCAAATTAAATATCATAATGAAAAACCATATTTACATTAACATAATCATATAATTTGATAAAGATATATTATCATGTCATTATATTTTAATATCAAATAATTTTGTAAAAAAAAAGAAAAAAAACATTTTGTGTAATGCAATGCTAAAAAAATCAAAACAACAACTCCACATGTTTTTTCTTTCTATTCATTTTAGAAGAATTTTTGCAATTTTAGTTATTTTATTTTTTTAATGAAGCAAACACAAAGAAAGACTTGATAATAATAAATAAAGTGAAAAAATGAAAAAAATAGATATTATTTTGCTGAAAAAACATATGTGAGAGTAAAAAGGAAAAATATATTTTCTTCTCATTTTCTCTCCATATATGGCGAGAAAAGTTGGGAGGAAAATGAGATGTGAGACCCAGCTTATTTTCTCCCCAACTTTTCTTTTCTCTCACTTTTCTTCTCTCATCCAAACAGGAGAAAAACCCCTTCTCCCCCTATTTTCCTTCCAAGTTTTCCTTCCTCCCTCATTTTCTCTCCATCCAAACATAGCATAAGGCACCTCCAAGAGGGAATTGGAGGGAAGGCTCGGGGGAGGAAGGAAAGAGAGCGAAGAAATTTTTTAAAAAGAATTTAATACAAAAAATTAGAAAAATGAAGTTATAAAATTTTGATAAAAAAATATTTAAGATAAAATATAAGAAAAATGAATTAAAATTTTTTAATCATATTTAAATTGAGATCACCCTAAAATTTTGTTAAGCGAATACCATTAAATAATATAATGGGTGTATGAATTATAAAAATAAAATTGTTTTGTAGGAAGAAAATGCAACATAGACTTTTAAAGTCATCATAACAATAAATATAATTTAATCTGTCTTATACAAAATTTAAAAAATAGATAAAAATGATCCTATTTATAAGATATGAAATTCTAACCAATTTGTTTTACATTTTTGACCTCATTGATTACTTGTTATATTATTATACGTAAATTATATTGTTCATCATCTCTTTAATCTCTATTTATTTTTTGAAAATAAAATATACCTTTTACATATTTTCATCATTTAATTAATTTTAAACAACTTTTTAACACACAAACACAAATATATGAGGGATAAATGATGATTAAATTTTTGGTGGGGGAGGAAAGTGGGTAATATGGGTGCACTTTGGCGTTTATACAGAAAGAGAAAAAGTAAAAGATGAAAGTACAGTCATAATGAGGAAACCAAACACCTGTCCAAATCAAATGCTGACAAATGTGCAAAGTGTTCCCCTTCTTGTGGCTTCCAACAATTTAATTTAAAGTTTTAAACACTCTATTTTAGTTTACCACGTTATTTTCAAACCGACAAGTCATGGTGGCTCACTTTGGGAAACAATTCAATATTCTGATAATAATAAAAAAAAATTTCACTGTATTCATATTTATTTGTAAATATAAACTTTTATTTTGATGCTTGTTATTTTGGTAAAATAATACTACCTCCGGTCCTAAATATAACAGTTAGTTGATTAATTTGAGTAAATTAAAAAAATAAGTTAAATTAGTTGTTTGTTATAAATATATGTTATTTTTTTTAAAAATATCTTTGCTAATCTAATTTATTAATTCGAACTACTATTATTAGAATGGCTATCTTGAAAAAAATAGATAAATATAGAAGACAAAATAGATTAAAGTCTTATATTTAGAACCAAAATAAAAGTCAAACGAGGTCTTATATTAAAGACCGGAAGTAGTACTTTTGTTTCTATTTATCATCTTTATTTTGATTTAAGTTAAATATAGTTTTATAAGGTTAAATTATATCTAACCCATTATACTTGGTGTTACATTCTCAACTTTTTTTCCTTTTTTTTTTTAACTGGATGTAATATGTCAAAGGATTTATTTATATGTACATGCATCATTGGAAATATAAAAGGATTTTGTGCATATACCCAATATTAAAGGGTTAGCCATAAAAAATGTTTTAGAAATACTTGATTAATAATTTATAAATATTCATCAATAAAATAACAAACCATTTAATGATTGGGGTTGTGAAAGATTATAATTTTAAGAAAAAGGGGGAGTACTTTCATTATGTTATTGTAAATGTACAGGTCTTCCTTCTGTTGTTATATTATTATTGTATTTTTCCTTTTTAAAATAAAATATAATAAGTATTTAATATCTACATTTCTATCTCTATTCCACTCATCTTTAAAGATGTCCAAGCAGTCCTGGCCTCATCACTTAATGCAAACTAAGTTAAGCTAATGTAATTGAAACTATTAGACACCATGCAAGTTACTATCTCACCCTCAGTATTTTATTTTAAATTCATTTATGTTTTGTGAAGATTAATTAATTTAAAAAACATTAGCTCAACCCAGCACACTAAGTAAGTTAAATGCTCGCCCCAGTATTCCTTGAAAAAACTTGTATGCCCGTTATGAATATTGATTAATTTCTTAATATATATCATTTAACTAGTTGACCTTATAATTACTGTGAATTCTTTTATTATTAAATTTTTATTTTACTTATTTTTTTAAAATAATAAACTTAAATATAATATATAATTATTGAGTAATGATAATTTTTAAAAATAATTACTATAGAATTTATATTATTTTTAAGGATATATATTTTGAATGAAATTAGTTATATTTTTAAAGAATAAAACAAGTTATGGAAAAAATTAAAAGTGACTAAAATAAAGAGTTACTTTTACTTTTTCACCTTTTATTTTGGCAAAATTATACATATGGTTTTTTAATTTTATATAAAGTTTTGATTTGATTCCCTAACTTTAAAAAGTATATCTTTAATCATTCAATCCTAAAATACTTAGTTTTAAATGATACTTTTTGTTACCATCATGATTTTTTTGAAATTTAAACTTAATATGTTAACATTTAAAAATATTTTATTAATATCTAAGATTTTAATATCATTATTTTTTGTTAACGGTTTTTAAGTTAAATAACTAAAAATATTTTTTGAAGTTAAAAGATCAAATTAAAACCTTATATAAAATTTTAAAACTAAAAGTACACTTTAACCTTTTATTTTAATATATTTTTCTTATTTCGTCACGATCTACTTTATACTTCAACCTAATCACTCTGAGCATGAGATCATATTGACCTAAACTAACTTGTATCTATTTTCTATAACACATGGTGTTCTTGATGATCACACCGCTAATCAAGATAAAAGCATGACCTAAGTTAGTACAGTATATAATATACAAATGCTCTTGTGATGCTCTTACTAATTAAGCCTAGTTTATATGGCTTGTCATTGTGGCTTTTCTCTTAAAATAATAATTGGCATTCATGGCTGATTTCATAGAAGCTGCTTGAATGGAAAGTTGATGCCATTTGAATGTAGAGGAAGAGAGGAGTGGTTTAATAATGCAAACAAAAACTTTATGTCATGTTATTTCATTCAGTTGCCACTTAAAGGTATCATGTCACCCATCATTTTCTCTAGTTGCTCTCCAAACCCTTCACTCTCCACCACTAATGAAGCCAAAATGGATCACCTTATAAATATTGGGGAAAATTAAAGGAATCCATAAATAAGCTTTTAGTAAATTATGTAAATTTTTCTGACATTTTGGTAATCGGATGTAGATTTACTTTTTAATTCTCAAAATTAATACCAATAATATGTTCAAATTGAACCAACTTAGCCAGTTGAGACTATCTAGTATTTGGAGGGTGTTTGGTTTTCTGTGAAAATACTTTTTAAAAGTACTTTCATGTAAATCAAGATAAAATTCTTTTTACATACTTATTTTGTATTCTCTAAAATCGCTTTTAAAGTTATAATTTGATTTTCACTCAAACATCTCCTTAAGAATGAGATGAGGTGGGGATAAAAATTTATTGATTGAACTTGTCATACACACACAAACCCATACAAGACTAAGGTTTAATTTATTTTTAATATATATACATATTTTTCTTGGAATAAAGTATGAATTATATTGGGAGAATGACAACTAATAACATCATAAGAAGATTAATACCAAAATAGGATATTTTAAAAGATTTTTAGTGTTGAAATATAGGAAAATGAATACTGAATTTGGCAATTATATGACCTTTTCATTCACTTTCAAGATATACACAGGTGAACTGTGCGATTTTGATA